TTTGCTCTTCAACATGTTGAAGTTACATACATCCTATATATTAACATGAGGGAGGTCTCAAAAAGTTCATAGGAAAATTCCATTATCTTTTCATAATATTTTCCCATGAACTTTAAGAAGTCCCCTTGTATATTGTTTGAATGAGTTTACTAGTATTTGTTTTTTAGGGTTGCAGTTACAAATTACTACAAACTGTATGTCTTAAAATGACAGAAATACAGGTGTACTTAAGAGATATTGCAGATTCGATTCCAAACCACTGCAGTAAAGTGAGTCGCATAATTTTTGTTTCCTAGTGCATGTGAAAGTTGTGTTTACTTTAGGCTGTAGTCTGTTAACTGCACAATAACATCATGGAGACTTTTGAAATGTTGCCAGAATTACCAAGAATGTGACACAGAGCCATGAACCAAGGACAAGCTGTTGGAAACATTGTACCAATAGACTGGATCGATTCATGGTTGCCACAAATCTTCCGTTTCAAAAAAAGCAACAGCATCTAGGAAGCACAGTAGAATGAAGGGCATTTAGAAGGTAGAGGTCAGGGATGCTGCCAAACACCCTACAATGCACAGGCTGGTCCCTGCATGCATCAGTCTCTCCTTAATCACCCCAAATGCCCTTGATGGCGAGCCTAAAAAGCACAGCCACTTACCGTTAACCCAAAGGTTGGCTTCCCGGTAAAAGGAGCCTCTTGGCAGAACCTGCCAATCGAGGACATCCATGAGATGTGTGGTGGCAGGAAGACCCCAGGATGGTGACTCTGTGGTCACTGGTGTCACTGCTGGGTCCGTCCCTCTCTCCACAGGTCCAGGGGTCTGACTGACTAGGGTTGTGCTGCCGTTTCAGAAGCCAAAGTTGTTTCTGGACTTGTCTCTGCACCAGATCCTGTGGAGATGCTGAGGAGCAACACAGAGCCGCCACTGTGCAAGGAGACAGACAGCAGGGACCGCTCCCCCATCTCCCAGCACTGCTGGCTCCAGGACGGCTCACTGTAACCCCCAGGGGGCTTTGGTTGGTTTTGGTTTTTAGCAGTATTTGAACTTGAACTCGTTGTGTGAGATCTGCACCCTTCCTGGTCTGCACAGTCTAGTTCTGCTTGGGTTCTATCTAGGTCACCTGTGTTTGAAGTCTTTGCATGTGGGGCCCAAATCATCCAAATTTTGAAAGGCTTCCTGGCCCAGAAACTTGGAGTTGAAATGTGGCCAGTGAAGGGTCTGCTTCCTCTGTGTGGAAAGTGGGTGACTCAAAGTTCTTGCTCCCAAAGCTCTCCAATGTAGGGAGGCCCCAGAAAGACCATAGTAATTTCATTTTATTATTAACTTCTCAACCTTCTGCTCCATGCTCCCACATTTGTTCCCAGAATTCCAGCTCATGGGTGTCAAAATGTGGAGAAATTGACCAGGCTGAAACCCTGACCCTGTCCAGCTCATGGTACATAAAGCCTAGCTGGTTTCTCATCTGGTTTCGAGAACTCATTTCGGTTTTTGGTATTTTGATCCCACACTCCCAGTCTGATGATGGTCTTTCCAGGTTGGAGACAGAATAACTTCAGCTGGTGGAAGTAACACCACCAGGAGCCAGACCCTCAGGTTTGATGGTGTCGTGCTGACTGAGGGGGCCCTCCCACAGCAATGCCAGCCTCAGTAAAAGGCTTTAACCTCGCTCAGTGTCCTCCTGCCATTTGTCCCCACATCCCTTTCAAATCTGAGGACATCTCTTGCTGCAGGACAGACCTCACTTCAAACAAGGGCAATGTTATCACGAGCCTGTGCTGACTGGATTCAGCTGGGCAGCTGCTCTGTTCTGCTGGTGGCTGCTGGGGCCACTCAAGACCACCATCATCTGGCTTTTCAGTGAGGGCTGGACTATCCACAACTTCACCCAGATGACAAAGTCGGGGCTGGCTGTTGGCTGGAGTGCCCTGGTTCCCCTCTCCACTGCCTTTCCAAGTGACTTACTTGGGCTTCCTCATGGTATGGCAACTAGGTTCCTGATCCAATCACACATGCTAACATCTCATCAGCCATGGCAGGTCACATTGCCAAGTGAGTGTGTCTGTGTGAGTGCTGGGGACAGGGTGTGAATACCCACCCATGGGCACAAGTCCCAGATGTGGTTCACTGAGGGCCACCTTCCCGCCACCATCCTCTCAGTCACTGTCCTGCAGGCCTGCCGTGGGTTAGGGCCACTTCAGTTTTTCCACGCCAGCAGCAGTTTCCTTCTTAGAGGCCATTCACATTTTGGCCTGGCTTCAGACAGCAGCAGGTAGGAGAGCATGTGTGAGGATGGCCTTGTGTGTGAGATGGTTAAGGGACACTCTGCCTGTCAGATCCCCAAGAGGGGGAGTCAAGCCTGGTCATCGTAGCCCACAGAAGCTAGTCCAGGACCGGGGCACAGTGGGGAGAACCTTCCTATGGCTGTCATCCCAGCCACCTCGCACAAAGAACTTGAAAAAAAGATGCCCCACCCAGGTGTAGATGAGCAAGTGCCTGAATAGGGCTCCAAACTGAGCCCCCACCAGCTGTGATGTGAAACGCCCCTGGGTGGGCCTCCAGTGCAGCTGATCTGTGGGTATGTAGCCGCGGTGTGGGAGGCCTTCGCAGATCTCACTGCTGAGCATCATCAGAGTCACGCTGACAGGAAGTCTGCTGGACAATCTTCCACTTCAGCCTGGCACTGACCGAGCACCAGAAGACCCACAAGAAAGAGAAAGGCTACAGACTTGGGGGGAGCCCGGACCCCACCCCACCCCACAGCCCATGCTGTCGGGAGCCTGCACAGACTCCTGGGGCGCATGGATGGGGATGCTGTCTTGTGCAGTCTGAGGCACAGTGATGAGCTCTAGGTTGTACATGCCCCTCGGGAAGGATATCACCTACTTGACTCCCCAAATGCTTCGGGGTACCTCTGATGTATCGTCAAGTCGGTTCTGACTCACTGTGATCCTGAACTGGGTTCCTGAGGCTTTGAATCTTTGCGGGAGCAGAATGCCTCATCTTTCTCTCATGTAAATAAAGGGGTAAACATGAAATGTATTCCTTCTAGCTTTTAAAAATGTGCCTACTAGAAAACTATGGACTCTTGGTATGGTGCAGTAGGATCGGCACTGGGCTACAAGTCACAAGGCCTCAAGTTCAAACCCACCAGCTGCCCCTTGGAAACCCTACACAGGGGCGTTGAGTTGGAACTGATTCAATGGCACTTAACACTTAACAACACTTAACCGTTGTTAAATGCCATCAAGTTGGTTCTGACCCATAGCGACCCTGTATAAGGTTTCCATGGAGCAGCTGGTGAGCTTGAACCGTCAACTGTGCAGTTCACACTGACTTTGCAGTCTAGTGCATTAATCCACCGTGCCACACCAAACAACTCTGAGATTAGTCCCTTAAAAGGAGGCAATGCAAAAACACCCCACAGAACAATATTGAAAGAACATTTGCAGCATCGTAGCCCATAAAAAAATGTCAAGTACTGACTATTAAGGAAACTTAAATCTTAGCATTTGATGAATAAAATCAAACTGACATAATTAAAACTCAAGGCTGATAATAATCAAAAAACAAAACAGTTTGATTTAACGATGGGTTCTGAGAGTGCTAAGTCACCAGGCAAGAATGGGTGAAGGAAGTGGGGATGTGTCAGTATGGCGGTACTGGTGTCTACATAAGTGTACGCATACGTACACCTATGTTTGTAGATTCATGGTTCAGTTCAATACTGTTACACCTTAAAGTTAAAATGTATAAAAACAAAAGCTGACTACGCCAAGATGAAGAACATACAAAAAAAGCGTTCAGGAGATTAAGTTGTATATTTACTCAGTCTATCTGAAAAACATAATGTTCCAACTTGAAACTACTATTTTTCATGAGATGGTGACTTCGAAGAAGGAAAAATCTTCCATTTTTCTATAAAGCAGCAACATGTATTTCAAATATCCATGCATCCTGCAGAGAAATTTATAGTGAGAACGGAGCAGCCAAAGCTATCACACCGTCTGTGAAATTCCATGGAAGTGACTCTATAGTTCTTATCTTTCCATATAAAACTTCTCGGTAACATTGCATATAAAGATTAATTTATTGCAAAATAATACAGTGACTTCAAATCTGCTTACAGTACACTGATACACAGAATTCAAATCTATGAGACTAGTTTCCATGTATGCTGATCACACAATTTACATACAAGTCAGGAAGCTTTGTACTGAGAGTTGAGTGTCTGTGGTAATTCCATAAAGATGTCACTGTTGGTTCTGGAACACATCTCACTATATTGATTTCTGCGAGAACTGAGTCAATTTGCAACATTCATAACTTATACCTTCCCATCATAAGGGTATAATGTACAATAATGATCATTTCTGGCTTTATTTGGTTCTTTTTGAAAGGCATTTGTTGGGTTTTCCACCACTTTAAAGTCACCCCCAGATCCACTAAATTTGTTACATTTTTTTTGTAGATTTTTATCATGTAACATAAGTGGGCACTTAACATTGATTTTCTCCACATTCCCCTACTGTCTGATCTGATATTTAGGGATGGACAACCTAGGGCTTGATATTTCCATGATCATTCCCATTATTGTGAACTCTGAGGGCTGACTAGGGGATAGTGTGTGGGAAGGCCTGGGTGTTAATATCTGTGTTGTTTCTCAGCAGTGTGACTGGGTGAAGTCCAGGAAGGGATGGACTATGGCTTAAGGCTTTACTACATCCCCAGCACTCACAGGGTATTGTTGTCTACCCAGTATGAGTTCTCTGGTGCTTGGTGAGGGAGGAGCTGTGTGTAAAGGCTTTCCCACAGTCCCTACACTCATACGGCTTCTCTCCCGTGTGAATCCTCCGGTGCTGAGTGAGGTGGGTGCTTTGCCTGAAGAACTTCCCACACTCCTGACATTCGTAGGGCTTTTCCCCAGTGTGTGTCCTCTCGTGCTGGTTGAGTGATGAACTGTGACTGAAGGATTTCCCACACTCGTTGCACCCATAGGGCCTTTCCTTAGTGTGAATCCTCTGGTGTTCTATGAGAAGGGAGCTCTGGCTGAAGGCTCGGCCACATTCCCCACATTCATAGGGCTTCTCTCCTGTGTGGATTCTCTGATGCTGGATGAGCGGGGCAAGCTGACTGAAGGCCCGGCCACACTCATGACATTCGTAGGGTTTCTCCCCGGTGTGGATTCGCTGATGTTTCGATAAGGATGAACTGTGGCTAAAGGCCTTGCCACAGTCTCCACACTCGTAGGGTTTCTCCCCGGTGTGGATTCGCTGATGTTTCGATAAGGATGAACTGTGGCTAAAGGCCTTGCCACAGTCTCCACACTCGTAGGGTTTCTCCCCGGTGTGGATCCTCTGGTGCTGAGTGAGGTGCGTGCTCTGCCTGAAGGCCTTCCCACACTCGCTGCACTCGTACGGTTTCTCTCCCGTGTGGGTCCTCTCGTGCTGGCTGAGCGAGGAGCTGTGACTGAAGGTTTTCCCACACTCGTTACAGCCGTAGGGTTTCTCTCCCGTGTGGATCCTCCGGTGCTCAGTCAGGAGCGTGCTCTGGCTGAAGGCTTTCCCGCACTCACTGCACTCGTAGGGTTTCTCTCCCGTGTGGGTTCTCTGGTGCTGGATCAACGGCGTGATTTGGGTGAAGGCTTTGCCGCACTCCTGGCACTCATAGGGTTTCTCCCCGGTGTGGATTCGCTGGTGTTTGGTTAAGGATGAACTGTGGCTAAAGGCCTTGCCACACTCCCCACATTCATAGGGCTTTTCCCCGGTGTGGATTCGCAGGTGCTGGGTGAGGTGGATGCTCTGGCGGAAGGCCTTCCCGCACTCGCCGCACTCGTAGGGTTTCTCACCTGTGTGAGTTCGCTCGTGTTGGCTGAAGGAAGACCTGAAACTGAAAGATTTCCCACATTCACCGCACTCGTAGGGTTTCTCACCCGTGTGGGTTCTCTGGTGCTGGATCAGTGGGGCAATTTGGTTGAAGGTCCTTCCACATTGGTTGCATTTGTAGGGCTTCTCCCCAGTGTGGATTCTGTGGTGTTTGGTGAGTGCTGAGCTGTTTCGGAAACCTTTGCCACATTCCTGACATTCATAAGGCCGCTCTCCTGTGTGTGTCCGGTGGTGTTCAACGAGTGCTGAGCTGTGACTGAAGACCTTTCCACATTCCTGACATTCGTAGGCTTTCTCTTTTGCATAGCTTTTCTGAAGGACATCTGCATTTAGTTTCTGGTCCTTTCCATGTGCTCCCCACATATGGGGGTCTTGTCTTTCAGGGGTCATTGGCTGAGTTGGGAGGTTGGGGTTCAGACTCAGGTTTCCTCCAGCCCATCCCCCTGCTGCTGCTCCTGTGTGGGTGTCTTCAGAGGCACGAAGGCTGCCTGCTCCACACAGACATCTGGGCTGTCAGGTTGCCACCTCTAGTGGCTCCTGTGGACCACAGACCACCCCACAGTACCTCTCTACCAGGACACCATCCCTTTTCCAGAGATGTCTTGCCACAGAGGTTACAGCTCTGTTTTAGTCTGGCCTCCAAGTCTGAAAGAAAGAAAACGTAGAAATGTTCCTTAGTCCTGTCGTGAAGATAAACAGTTTGTGGGGGAGGAAGGGAGGAGGTATACAACTGATGACTTTGAAAGGCTCACAGTACAAGTGGCTTCGACCACTTTAACATATGGCTTTGCAAACCAGAGAAAGAACAGGATAGGGAAGGAAAATGCAGAGAGGAACTGGGGGAAATGGACTTAAGGAATATGGACCGAGAAAGAGGGTGAAGAGACAGCATCCAGGGGAAGTATGGACCCATGTGCCAGGCTTGGAAGGAGCACAGTGATTGTCACATGCTGGTGAATCCAGACCTCACAAGGCCAGGTGACTGACTGAAGGAAGCTGTCACTCGGGAAAGGGTCTAAGATCTGTTTCTTCTTGGAGGCAACTAGCTCTTGTCCACCTTAGATGTAAAACCCATCAGCTCCTAAAGAACAGGAATTTGCTGAAGCGTCCATCAACAGGGTGGATAAATGACCTGTGGCATTATGTTGATCTGGTTTATTTTCTGTTTATCCAGCTAACTGCAAACACCGTGATGGGGAGGACTGTACACGCTAGCAGATGCTGCACACACCCATTCACAGCAGACACTCAAGAACAACCAGACTAACGGAAAAATGTCTTCTCTCCCGATACTTCAGCAGGCCGGCTTTTATGCCCTGGTGCCCAGCCTAGCCCTGGCAGCCACAGTGCAGGCTGGTGCCCACCCCACTCCAGGCTGGCATTTAAAATTCAACAGCAGGCCACAGCTGATGATGATAAAAGTCAGAATTGAAGTTAACACGTATAGGGATAATGCTTGCCTTCTGGGGCGTCACAAATGTAATTTAAGTTCCTGTAACAGCAACAGAAACGAATACATTAGCAATCAAAGTTTCTCACTTCTATAGGATGAAATGTGATTAGTATCATAAATGACAAGAAGATAATTAGTGGCCACCACACAGAAAAAGCTCCAACAAATCAGTAAGTACAAGACAACACACAAAACAACATCAAAATTCAACACTTCAAGTAAGAGGCTGGGTTATTGGATTTGCGCACACAGTTCAGTTTCTTGTCTCTAGGGACCAGGGAATGACTCTGAGGCTCTTTTTTCCCCTTTGGTCCAACTTGATGACACCTAACAATACCAACAACAGCTGAACACAGTCTGCGTTTGACTATTAACCTAAAAAAGTCCCAGTTTGGTGCTACAGGAAAAACACTGGGCTGCAAGGTCGTTTGAATGACAGTTTGAGCGGTTCAAACTCACCAGCTGCTCGTTGGAAACTCTACACAAGGTCGCTATGAGTTGGAATCAACTCAATGGCACTTAACATTAACCTAAAGGTCAGTGGCTCAAATGCACTCAACAGAGCTGCTGAAGAAAGGCCTGGTGACGTGCTTAAGACTACAGCCAAGAAAACCCTATAGTTCTACTCCGTAACACACAGGTGACCATGAGCTGGAATCTACTCATAGGCAGCGGGTTACTGAGCACATGGTACCAGGGACCAGAGACGCATATGCCAGGCCTTGTGGAACTGACACAAATGTAAAACCCAGGAGAAAACAGGAGGGATGTCATTGCAGCAGCCATGTGAACATCTGGGAAGAGCTGTGAGGCCAGGGGTGGTGGTGGCGTGTGCAAAGGTCCTAAGGCAGGAAGGAGCTGGTCAAGATGGATGTGGCCAGTGCAGACCAAGGGAACGAGGGTGGCCCTAGGTCTGGCTAACCCTTTGTCCACATGGGTCTATCTTGTAGGAATCTCTGTTCCATCAGAACCATGACCCCAAAGATCCTGTCTGCCACTCTTTCCTTGACAGGCTGAGATCCATCATCGGTCAGTTTTAGATTCTGACCATGATCCATGATGAACTGTGAGCTCAACAAGGCCCAGGACGGATTCAAGTGGTCAATTCATGCTCTGTGCCTCAGCACACACTAGACCTTCAACAAATGCCTGACAAACAGGATGATAAAAGCTACTTCATTCTTTAAACAAAGAAAAAAGAGCCAAGCAGAACCTCCAGATGCAAGCACACCTCGCTTTAGCATGCTCTGCAGATGGCGCCTTTTCCACGTGAAGGTCTGTGGCAGCCTGGTGCCGGGCAGATCTGTTGGTACCATCTCCCCAACAGCGCTGGTGTTCCTATGTCATGTCTCAGTATTCTCACACTGAACAGACTATATAGCCCAGTGTGATCATAACTTTATATGGACTGGGAAACCAGGAAATTCACATGACTTGCTTCATTGTGATGTTCTCTCTAGTGCAGTAATCTGGAACAACATCCATGTGATCTCTGAGGGGTCCCTGTACTGATCAGCTCTGTGGGCACAGAAGGTCCCCCAAGTATAGGCCCCATCCTGGTGGGTCTGCCCATCTGACGAGGGAGGGGATGAATGGCAGTGAGTGGAGCTGGTGGTGAGCTCTGTGGGCCAGTGGTTGCCCCGAAGAAGGTGGGTGGGAAAATACCGGGTGACACCACTGCCAACTGCTAACACTCTGCCGGCCTTGCCCGTGTCACACAAGACCATGGCGGCCGCTCAGTGAACAGGCAGAAATATAAACATGCAGGTCTGGCGGTCACTGTCACCTGCCTCCATATCTGATTTCCCCCACTGATCCCACGAGGTGATGACAATGAGGAAACTAGGGGACAGAGAGTGGAGTTATGTGCTTGAAGCCATGCTGCTAAGAGCCACCTCAGGTCTTTCATCTTTCCCCTCGGAGACCCCAGTGCCCAATGCACAGTGGGACAGCAAGCCCAGAAGAGGAGGCAGTCCTGCCTGAGAAGAGCACTGGCCCAGGAGAACTTCCTGGAAGAGGAAGACAAGTGTATCTCAGAGCCTTCCTGCTGCTTGGGCCACAGCAGCCAGAGCTTCTTGCTGAGAGAGGCCCCAGGCCCCATACACCAGCCTTGGGGACCTTTCTTGACCCTCCTGCTACATACACTGGTCATGAAAAGTGCCTGGCGCAGTTCTATCTCAGCTGGTTCCCTCTGCCTAGAACACTTTTCCTGGGGCATTGCTCTCTCTTTCTCCTCAGAGGGTGCTCACTGGTTAATGTCCAGCCTTCGTGGCCACCCCATTGCCAGGATTTGCTCTCCTGCAGGGCACTACACATGTGCCACACTGTTTATATCCACTGTTTATATGGACCATGAATCCCATGGGGACAGGGATTTCTGCTCATCTACATCTCTAGGGCCTGGGACAGCACCTGGAAGGGTACCTGACCTCTGACAGGTGACCAGTACATGTCTGCTGAGAAACAGTGAAAAGGGTGAGCCAGGAGTCCTGTTTTGAGAAAGTCCCAGACACATCACAGTAGTGGGACTGAAGTACATCAGCCAGGGTAACGGGCAGGGGAGAGGATTCAAGAAGCTCTTTCAAAGGGGTGACATTTAAGATCTGGAGCGGACCAAGAGCTGGCAAGGGCTCCACTGAGGGCCAAGGCTCTGAGGCGGGAACTGAGCATGGGCGTAGTGGCATACTCACTGGGGGGCTGGCATTTCCATCTGCAGCCTCTTCCAGGAGCCACTCTGGCTCCTCTGGGCTGCCCTGGAGCTCCCTGCTTCTGTGGAGAGCCCTACACACTCAGGCTAGACCGACAATTCCTGAGCTCCTCCTGTGAGCCTGGCACAATTACAGTCTATAAAAAGGTGGCCTTGCATTCTCCTACTCCACCTCACATACAGGGACACTGAAGCCCAGGTGTGTGCGAGGGCCACGCGCACTGCCAATTTCTAGCGCGATGGATATCGGTTATGATGATGAAAAACCAGATGGCCCTGGAAATCCCCCTTAGCAATGTCTGGCCAGCAGGGTCATCCCGGGCGTTGCCTGGGTGGGTCCAGCAGTTTGTGATCCACTGCTGAACCAGGTTTGCAGAAGAAAGGTTTGGGTAACTGCCTTTGTAGATTTCTGTTGGGTGTCACCTAGTAAGTTTCCAGCTCATAACAAGCCCATGACAGAGTAGAACGACCCCACAGGGTTTTTTTTACATGAGGGACCCTGGGGACAGTCAGCTCATAACCCAAAGGTTGATGGTTTGAGCCCACCAGCTGCTCAACAGGAGAAAGATGTGACAGTCAGCTTCTGCAAAGATTGTTGTTGTCATGTGCTGTGGAGTCGATTCCCACTCATAGCGATCACAGCCTTGGAAACCCTGCATGGACATTATGAGACACAATGGACTTGACGGCAGTAGGCTCATTTTTATGGGAGCATACCACAACGTCTCTCGTCCGAGGAGCTGCTGGCTGGGTTTGAACCACCAATCTTTCCGTGAGTAGTTAAGCACTTAAACCACTGTGCCACCAGGGCTCTTTTTCTGTAAAGATTAATCAAGAAATCCCCATGAAACAGTTCGGTCTACTCTGCAACACACGGGGGCGGTTATGCATTGGAATCAACTCAACAGCAGTTAAGGACAACAGGGCATGTACAGGGCTGAAAATGGAGCCCAGTAGCAGAGAGAGACGATTGCAGGTGGTGACCGTGGAGGACAACAACCCTGTCACTTCAGTGAGCATCTACTATGCCTACTACACTGTGCCTACTACACAGACCACTGCCAGCGACTACTGTTCATCCCTGGCTGATTCCCCAGACAAGAACTCTCAGGCAAAGACCCTGCCTACAACACTCCGAGTTCATCCCCATCCGTCCCGGGCCCTGTAGTCTGCAGCTTTCAGGATAGAGGTATCCTAGTAAAGTGTTTATGGGTTTTCTATGTGTCTCCTCAGCTCCACTCCATAAGCCCACAGTGAGAACCTCATACCCAGAGTGAGGGCGCTTGGGTGAGATACTCAAGGCTCACAAAACCCAGGCTGTCTGGAATCCGAAGCTGTGCACCTGGTCTCCCCAACTCCATTCTTAGGGATGGAACCTCAGGAGAAGGTGGAGGCCCCGGAAGCGCCACCAAGGCAGGCAGGAAGCGGGTAAGTGTCGGTCCCTCCTCCCAGATCCCGAGATCGGAACCTTCCCTCCCACCCTCCTTTCAACACCGGGTGCCCCCTTCTCGCTCCTCGCGGCCCTGTTGTTATTAAGTGCCGTCGAGTCGGTTCTGACCCAGCATAGGGTTTCCAAGGAGCGACTGGTGAGTTTGAACCGCCGACCCTGTCGTTCTAACCGGCCTGGCGGGTCCTGCACTTATCCTACAGCGTCACACCAGGACTAAAACCGCCGCCCCCCCCCCAACCCCGTCCTTCCCATGCCCCCGGGAGACCCGCCTCAAGCCCAAAGCCGCAAAAGGGACTCGGAGGAGACCTCCAAAATTGAGTATATTTTCCGGTCGGGCCCCGAGTAGACCCTGGCTCCCCGCCCAGCTTAGCCTCCCGCGCCTGGGACCAGCGGGGGACCCCACTTACCCGCCCGCCACCAGAACAAAGGCCCAAACCACCTGCCGGCTCTGCGTCTGCGCAAAGAGGAAACGAAACTACAATTCCCAGAGGGCCCCGCGTTTGCTTCCGGTTGACCAAGCGCTCGTCCCGTCCCCACCTGGAGTACAGTTAACTAGGCAACAGGGTTCCGGGCTCAAGCGCGGCTCGGAAACATCCCGCTGGGTGCAGCCTCCCATTTTCTACGGTACTGATTTTATCCACAGACAGTAGGATTTAACCCACAGCTGCCACTGACTGATATTGTAATCGCTCGGGTGGGACACGGAACTATAACTCAGAGGGCGGAATGCGCGCTGGTAGTCCTAGTGTTCGGTCCGAGTCCGCCTGGGGCGCTGGGGACAAGGAATCAGGGTTCCGGTTCACATGGTGGCCCAGCGGACCCGCACCCAGTTCAGCCTTCTCTTTTCACGGCGACCCCTCCCAGACCCCACTCACTAGTCCTACCTGAGGCCGAAGACCACATCTGCTACCGGCACCTGTTTGGCACCTCGGCGGACAAGTGCCAAACTACAACTCTCAGAGGGGCGCAGGGGCTGTGGATGCCTCCCCCCTCCCCATCCATTGGCCCAAACAATGGTTGGAGAGTGTTGGCTTTCCTGGTTGTGGCTGTTAGGTGCAATGGAGTTGATTCCACTCTTGACAAACCCATGTACAAGAAAAGGAAACACAGCCTTGACCTACATCGGCCTCAGAAACGTTGTTCTGTAAGCCTGTTGCTGTAGTCATTGTTAGTCTATGTCGTTGAAGATCTTCCTCTTTTTAACTGACCCTCTACTTTACCAAGCATGATGTCCTTTTCCAGCATTGAAGAATTGATGCCTTTGAATGTCAACTGTGATGTTGACATAGCATGTTAAATATACCATGAAATGCCAGAAAAATGAACAAATCTGCCTTGAAGAAGTACACCCAGAATGTTCCTTAGAAACCAGAATAGCAAGACTTTTGGTATTTCAGACATGTTATCAGAAGGGACCAGTCTCTGGAGAAGGAAAGCGTGTTTGGTAAAGTGGAGGGTCAGCACAAAAGAGAAAGACCCCCAAAGAGATGGATTGGCACAGTGTAGCGATTGTGAGTGTAGCAGGACCAGCCGGTGTTTCCTTCTGTTGTACACAGGGTAGCTGTGAGTTGGAACCGACTCCATGGAAACCTAGCAACAACAACAACAAATATTTACTGGCTGCCCTCACATATAGGGCCCTAAAGACCATGATCCCTCATTTGTGGGTTGACCTTTTGGTGGGAGAAGAGAGTGATTGGATGGGGGGCGCTCATTTTGAGAGGATGATCTGGGAAAGTCAGGGAGAGTACTGAGCAGAAACCATGGAAAGATGTTGAGGATGTTTTCGAGGCAGTGAACTTAGAGTAGGCAAACTTTGTAGTTCAAACTGACTTTGCAGTTCCGCACTTATCCTACAGCACTATACCACACCAGAACTCCACATGCATATTGTTGTTGTTAAGTGCCATTGAGTCGGTTCCGACCCATAGCGACCCTGTATAGGGTTTCCAGTGAGCAGCTGGTGAGCTTGAACTGCCAACCTTGCAGTTCAAATGGCTTTTCAGTCTGGCACAGTAACCCACAGCTTCACACCAGAATTCTCCACATGCATATGAGGCTGTTGAAAATACCAAGGCTTGGATCAGGAGCACCTTAGTCCTTAACCTGATATCTTTGCTCATGAACACATTGAAGAGGTCTTGTTCAGCAAGATGCAATATGTTGTTTAATTTCTTGACTGCTGCTTCCATGAGTGTTGATGGTTGAGCCAAGCAAAATGAAATCTTTGATCATTTCAATCTTTTCTCCATTCATATGGATGTTATTTATTTGGCCAGTGGTGGGGGTTTTTGTTTTCTTTACATTGAGGTGTAATCCATGCTGAAAAGCTGTGGTTTTTGATCTTCATCAGTAAGTTTTAAGCCCACTTCACGTTCAGCAAACAAGTTTGTATCATCTACATATTGCAGGCTATTAATCCTGATGCCATGTTCTTCTTCATATAATCCAGTTTCTCAGATGATTTTCTCAGCGTAGTGACTGAGTAAGGATGGTGAGAGAATATAGCCCTGGTGCACACCTTTTCTGATTTAAAAGCATTTATTTTTAATCGACTGCCTCTTGGTCTATGTATAGGTTCCTCATGAGCACAGTGAAGTGTTCTGGAATATCAGGACTCCTACTGGGGTCAAGGAGTCCTGGTGTGACACTGTGGGTTAATGTGCTGGATTGCAAAATTGGTTTGAACTGCAAGGTTGGTGGTTTAAGCTTACCAGCTACTCCTCAGAAGCCCTATACAGCGTCGCTATGGATTGGAATCGACTTGATCGCACTTAACAACAACAACTGGGGTCAAAATCTAACAAGCGAGAGATTTGGTTGCTATGTAATGTGTACATTGCTTTTGTTTTCTTCAGCCATGATAGAACCATTTCCAACGAGTTCGTAGCCTTGGTTTGAACCTGCTCAGAGTCCCAGTGTGGTGCTATAGAATAAGCTCTGGACTGCTAACAGCAAGGTTGGTGGTTCAAATCCACCAGCTACTCCTTGGAAAAGTTATACAGGGTCGCTATGAATTGGAACTGACTTGATGGCTCTTAACAACAACAACAATAGAGGCACTTTGGAAGACCGGTACTATGCTTCCTGAAAGGTCATGACCTTAAAAAGCCTAGGACGCCGTTTACTCAGCACCCACGCAGTCACCATGAGTCAAGTCGTGTTGTTCCCCACTGGTTCCTACTCATAGCAACCCTGTCTAGGGGTTCCAAGGAGTAGCTGGTGGATTTGAACTGCCCATCTTGAGGTCCGAATCGACCTTGCAGTCTAGTACATTGTCCTGGAGCACCACACTATGGCTTGAGTCTACTCTCCAGCAACTAAGAACAAACAACACGGGAGTTCAGCAAGGCGGTTACTGTGTGTGTCCAGGCAGGTTCTCTGGAACCACCGACCACTTTCATACTGGAAACTATACCATAAGCTTTATTATTATAAAACAAACCAGGATTTTTTTTGAGAGAGAGAAAACCACAGGAATAGTTGAAGCATTCACCAAGGTCCCAGGAATGCAAACACAAGAGCTGGTTTGCATGGAGGCACATTGACCCAGCCCTGCGCATTTCCCAGGGGTGTATACATGGGTATAGGAAACATCCCACCAGATGCTTCAACATGATATGCCTACTTGTACTTTGCATATTGCTATGTGATTGTCTAAATTGTCTGAACAGTCGCATAGTATTCAGAGCTGATGTGCTATCACAGCTCCATTTATCATTCGCTTAACATTCATTGGGTCCGGAGAGACTTTAGGCCCAGGGTACAACAGCGGACCGGTGGATGAGGCGGGGAGTTTTGCCGATTCTGCTATCATGATTTTCTTACTTTTACTGTAGTTGCTAAGCAATGAGCGGAAAAGATCTAAGAAATTGAAAGGAGTCAAGTACATTTGTTCACCCTTTTGAGAAAGGAAGTCTGTTTTCAGTCAAGGCAACACCAAGAGCAGATTGTCCAGTAAGCAAGGTAGGCACAAGTTTATTTGTGCTTATTTACTAATCTGTCAGGGATTAAAAATTTTAAAAGAGGCTTTAAATCTGTAGGAAGGTACAGTGGTGTTTGGATAGAGACGAATGCCAGCCATGCCTAGAAACAGAATATTTGATGTGAAAAAATATAAAGTGTTTGCTAAGACTAATAAGTAAGCCCAAGAAAACCCATGCTCACATTGCTTATTTAGTAATCCGACTCTGGTTCACATACTAGATTTGAAGCTGAGGACGATTCAAGACCAGGGCATTTTTCTGTTTAATAGAAACTACTATTCTCCAACTCTGAAAACAGTGAAGAAGAGACAAGAATTCTCATGTTAATAAAAAGAAGACCAAGTTTACTGCTCCTAGAGGCTGGTGGAACCCCAAGACTAGGGCCCTTAGTCACATATTGCAGGCTGTTAATAGGTCTTCTAACCAGCCGCTCCGCGGGAGAAAGATGAGGCTTTCTACTCCTGTAAAGATTTACACCCTTGGAAACCCTGTACAGGGTCGCTATGGGTTGGAACCAACTTGACGGCACTTAACAACAACAACAACAGCACACTTCAGGTCTGGAACTAAACTCACCCCATGGCTCAATTTTCAGTATAAAATTCAGTATAAAGGGGGACAATTGCATTGTGATGTATGCACACCATGGTTGGTGATTATGTGCCATGGAGTTGGTTCCAACTCATAGCGACCCTGTATAGGGTTTCTGAGGCTGTAAATCTTTACGGGAGCAGAAAGCCTCATCTTTCTCCCATGGAACAGCTGGTAGTTTTGAACTGCTGACCATGAGATTAGCAGCCCGATTTGTAACCACTGCGCTACCAGAGCTCCTTGCTAGAACTCTTCAATTCCATCATCACTGGCTTTGGCAGTTGGTGGGTAAATTTGAACAATAGTGGTATTAAGTGGTCTTCCTTGTACGTGCATGGATATTGTCCTACCACAGACAGCATTGTAATTCAAGATAGATTTTGAAATGTTCTTTTTGATAATGTAAATCCATTCTTCTTCAGTTTGTCATCCCTAATATAGTAAACCATATGATTGTCAGATCATTAATGCCTAGGATATCAATGTTTATGCGTTCTACTTCCAATTTTCCTTGTTTCGTACTTCATACATTCCATGTTCTGATTATTAATGGATATTTACAGCTGCTTCTCATGTTGAGTTGTGATACATCAGCACGTGAAGGTCCTGAATGCTTTACTCCATTTGTGTATCATGGTCAACTCTACTTTGAACAGGCCAACTCTTTCCCAGTCGCATTTAGAGTGCCTTCCAAGCTGAGGGGCTCATCTTCTGGCATTATATCTGACAATATTCTGGTGCTATTCATAATATTTTCCCATTCCAGAACTATATTTGACCATGTTCCACTGCTCCTCACAAGGGTTTCAGTAGCTAAACATTCAGAAGTAGTCCGTTTCTCCTTCTTCCTAGTCTGTCTTCGTCTGGAAGCTCAGCTGAAACCTGTCCACCATGGGTGACCCTGCTGGGATTTAAAATGTCAGTGGTATGGCTTCCAGCATCACAGCAACACATAAGCCACCACAGTCTGACACTCACGGTTTAAGGGGTTAGAAATATGAATTCAGGGTGCCAGCTCAAGGAAAAGGTTTTCTCTTTCTCAGTTCT